TTCCTACGAAACAATGCGCCTGTGAAGAGAGCCCATGGCAGCCTAATCTAATTGACTGACGCAACGCCTAATACGGTGCTGCTGTTTCTCTAGCAGGGGATTAGCGCTCAGTCGATAGATTCATTTCCATCTTGATGATTTGTTCTAACAGAGAGACAGCTTAGCTCCCGAACGCGAACCAAAACATCAACAACAACAGCGGGAATATGTCGATATGAAGCTTCAAACAGGATAACCGCCCTCTATTCCACCATTTTCATAGGTCGGCTGAGCCTAAACCCAAGACCTATGGAGGAAATCGAGGTCAACGAAGGACGCAGATTCGAATTCTGGCGAATCGCTGACGGACTAACCGCGGATTGATTGACAAGTGAACTTCGTCTGGCAACGCAGCACCCGGTGCTCCAACCACCTCCATCTCGACGCTATCGATGACGGAACTGATTCTCATCACTCTTCAGGAAAAAATTCCACGAGACATTTTCAAGCTTCGGGATCTGTCATGTGTACCTATTCCCGATTCCTCTCCTCGAAACGAAGTTCCCGACAGTACGCATCCAATCATTGGGAGCTGTCCTTCGCCCGACTGTTCCTCTCTTTTTGCGAACGCTTCGCGATATCGGCTCAAGTATTCATACGACCTCGTTCCTCCTTCTCATCACGGCAGAGTTGGATCATCCTTACTATTAAACAGGGGTTTCATGAACGAAAAAGCGTGTACTCTCGATATCGGCCAAGTCCCTCATCAAAAGCACATTAGGCCGTCGGGCGCTCGGCCTGTCGATTACCTATCCGAGGTCGGCAAGAAAACTCAGATTTTTGAGGCTCGCCACAGGCGGGTTATTCCTTGGCCAGCACACGGAAGCCTCAGGCTATAGACAACGACCACGCACGTTTCTCAGATGAGCCACCTCAGCATTGTACGGGATTCCGGACCCTTCCCCGAGCCGAAGATAGAATCTCTAAGCGAGGAAAATACGGTTTTCGAAATACCCGTTTCCACGCCTGCCGGTCAATGGGCCTTATGTGACGCGGTATCTCCGGACTTCGACTCCTTGCGTTGAATCGAGATGGAAGATAGAAATGTGCGCAACAGCGAAGAGAGATTCATTCAGAGAGCGCAGACAGACTAGAATTTCGCGGATGGTACTTTCGCCAGGCGACAAGGATTCTCTCGTGTCCCAGTCTTTCGCACATTCGTCCTCATTTCCCCACAATGGACGTGATCCTCGAAGCGGAAAAAGTCATATAGCGAAACGATCGAGCTCGTCGCCGACGACAATTCTGTCTCGACAGGTAAACGTCTACATATAGCCAATACTGCCCCGGAGAAGCGAGTCTCGATGGTGGGACATCCCGGTCCGTATTGCGGATATCTGGAGATTGAGACGAACGGGTTCGGGAATGAGCCATGAGCCAAGACCCTAGGCCGGAAACCAGCGAGCCAGTGGCCTACTCGGAGAGAATTCCCACGGCGATCTGCATGGTAGCCCAATCCTATTCGCGAGGAGAACAACGGTATCGATTCTTCATCGTGATTTCTCCTGGGTACGCCACTGCATCACACGAGAAACAGAGAAAGTCCGCAGTTTGAAAAGAAGGAGCTGTTCTGCGACTCCTAAGAACACGAGCGAAACAAAAAAGAATCGTTTCCAAGCGACGTGATGATTCTCGACAGAGTCGATCTGCCAGAGGGCTGAACTTCGTGAGACCGCGAGGCAACTTCTGACAAATACAAGTCATCCGTCAGCTCTGAGGTACCATCAAAAGTCAGTCGGAGAAGCGGAACAACAAGCACGGCGACGGGAGAAAATTCGCTGTATATATTTTTCTCCGCCGCAGCGACCGAAGACCACGTGGTCGCGTCGTCTCATCGGAGCTCCGGCGGGGATCGCTCGCTCATTTCTCGAGTTCAAAATCTTCCAAGAGCCCCATTCTCCTGATTGCCCAGCTGAAATTCTAATGGACGATCGCCGGGGGGTCGGAGAGGTGTTTTTGACGCCTTGCTTATCTCTGATAGACCGATTTAACTTTGTTGACACCGGCAGGATTGTATTGCATAAGCGGTCGGGGGAGATACTGGCGCGACGATTCCTCGATTGAATGCCAAGCGGATTCTCTGACATTCACCCCGGAAGCTCCGACGACGACACGACATCCACCGGCGATCCTTCAATGTATTTGGAAGTTCATAAGTGTGTATGTACGCGGTCGATGTCTCCGTTGGTCATAGCCCTTTTCACTCACTTGCCGCATTCCTCGCGCCGTTACGTCAGCGACTTCAGCCATCGAAGACCGACCATACAGTCGAAGTGGCGTCGCGACGCCACTGACCATCATCGCAGTTTGCCTCGGTAGCAGCCACCATCGGTCCAGCGATGAGCCAGCTGGCTGTCACTTGAAAACAGTTTTGGTGACCCTTTCTCTAGTCCATCTCTTCTCTTGTTCCTTTAGATTTTCGCCGCAACTCTCGCGAAAGACGAACGGTGGGCGTCTCCATTAAGTTTGGATCGTCGCTGTCAGTTTATTGGCTTTGTACCCCGAAGAAGTCCCTGCGTACCGAAATGGGGGACGGAAGGAAACAGAATTCCAGTTTCAGAAGGATCGTGTACCACTTTCCAGGTCGGGGGAGGAAAGGCTTCGTTTATTTTCCTGGATAGGCTAATGTGAGTCGAAACCTTCGATCGCGATGAATCCACGCCAAGTCGATATTGAGGGGTTTCCCAATTACTCCATGCACAGCCATTCGGCACGTCGAGCTGGCACGGTTGAGCGTACGGAGATCGTTCGAGGCTGGGAACAACAAACGTCAAGCCAGTAGTCGCCACGTGGGACAGGAACTTGCTTGCACGTTTCTTGCGAAATCCCCGCGAGAAATGAGAGCATTTGCGAAAGTATGGTCAGTCACGATTGTAAGCATTGCAGACACGTACAGAACACGCTTCCCCAGCGCGCTCTGGGTGTGTGAATGACTTCGTGGACATTGACGGCTGAACTCCGGCTCAAGTGTCAAGAGCATCCATCGCCTGAGCTCTCGCTAAAGCATCGGGAGCCAATCGGAATAAACGGGCTTATAGATATTTCTCTTCCTTGTCGCTACACTCTTCGGAGGGCCCCCGAATTTTCTCGTGTTCCTTGATGCCGACGTTGGGAACATTTGGCGTTCTCGGCTGACTCGCTGTCTGCATTGAAGTTCAGTTTCTCAGCATCTTCTTTCGCCGGTGGTCGTTGATTCCGCTTTGCGCATGGCCGCGTTCAGCGTTCCGTACCGAAGCCATTCGGAGCCGCTCGGAAATAGCGAAATCTCCGACCAATCTCAAGCTTTTGGAAACTGGAACGATTCACGAATTCAGAGCCCCTGTTCACTGGCATTGGCTTGTCTCAACTTCTCTGGGAATCTGACGATTCCCTCGATTCTATGAATTTTTAGGCGTTGGGTTCTCGACAAATCGCGGCGAACGATCCGAAAAGTCAAGCTCAGATCGAAATCGGCTGCAGATGTCGCTGGTAAATCGCTTTTTTCGTAAAGCACTGAAGCAAACAAGTAAGCAAACAGCGCATACGTAGAACGACGGATCGCTGTGGCTGCCGATGTCGTCGTCGACGAAGATGTTGTTGGCATGAGAGAACGCTTGATGCCGGCTGCGGTGAACCAGCAGAGAAAGCACCATGGCACGCCGGCGTCGACTGGGGGCAACAGACTTTTCCCAAGGCCAGTCTGGATTGAAGAGAGGCTGCCGCCATCTGGTTTCCTCTACCAGCAGCACCGCCAACGCAGTGCCCGCAGAGAACGCTAACCGATGTCAACAACAATAGCGAGTGACTTCTTTTTACATTCCTTCTTTCCCTAAAGCGAACTGATGAGAGTACTCTCGCGGCTCGGCTCTCATGCGAACGTCCGGATGAGTCATTGCTCCAAAATTAATTTCTGTAGACACTGGGCTCGTCGCAGAGGACGACATCCGAGTCGGGCTTTCCCGGACGAGCTCTCCCGGACGAGCTCTTCCTAATCTCTGTCAGAACTTTTCCGAATTCGATTGTGCAACGAAATGCGCCATCGAGCTCATTGCACCCAGGACTCGATCGAACAGAAAATCCGCACGACTGGATCGACCTGAGGCTATCGGACGGATCTTCGCTTCCGTAAGGCCGAGGGGGTGCACATCCAGACTTCAATCCGTCGTTGGCGTTGCAGGACCGGGAAGGATCGTGTCACAGTTGGAGTGACGAGTGACACGATCCTGCGAAATCTCTGTCAGTTCATGAGATTCCATCAGAAAATGAAGAGACTGACTGAGCCGCCGAGGCAAAGTCGATGAACCTCGCAACCACAGAAGAAATGGCTCTGGCACGATAAAAAAGTGATGCTGATCAAGTCCCTTAAACACGCGAACAGGGTCCTTGAGGTATTCGGCGCGGAGCATTCCAGGAAATGCTCCTCGCGCAAGAGGGGAGCCTTCATAGAGCGCGGGGAAGTCGCGCTCCCACTAGCACGAGTCGGTGGGGCACTGGATCGAGGTTCCCGGAAGATTGCCCCAATCTTGGCACTCGCCGTCGTCTTTCAAGGCCGACTGAGCCTTTCGAGCCGGTCCGACTGCGGAGTGACAAAGAAGTTCTCCCATCTTGAGTTCCCTATTTCTTCCATATATGGAGGGATTGCGTTTCCTTCCCCCCCTCCCAGGGATGATTTTAACGATCGACAACATCTAAATAGAGTTTCGAAATAAGGAACGAGCGAGAGAATCGATGAAGCGGAAGCTGTCACTTCGAGAACTTCAGGCTCGATCTCATGGCGAACCTTGGAATTTGAAAACCGCGCTCGTAGAGGGCGCTCCAGTCGTCCGCGGTCGCCATTTACCCGTGTTGTGTTCCAGGGAGGTAAACAATAACCGCCGTCAGCCGTGTCACCACCACACCACGTTGTTCCAGCATAATATGTTCGAATGAGATTCTGCGTGTTAGTTGTGCGGTCGTGATTGCTGTGCAAGGACTCAGGCTGGATGGAGGAGCGCTCATTGCCGGTTGAGGAACGTGCCCGATCCTCGGCGCTCGGAGTCGAATCCGAGGAGAGTGAAAAAAAGGACCACGCAGACTGGAGGATCGGCGGCGAAATGCTCCGAAAGTGATCCCGCCGCGACGGAAGGCGCCTAATTCGACTTCTTCGTCTACCAGAAAGCCTCCCGTGTCCATATCAGACTTGCTGTCCGAAGGCGAAGACCGCAACGTGGTCGAGGACAATATACGTGGAAGTGGTTGTAGTAATGACGACACAGATGACGGATCTGAGGCAGGACGCGGAGACGATATTGAACACGCAGAGTCGGAGAATCCGAAACGACCCTCCGATATCGAGGATAATAAAGTTTCAGATATCGAAGGGGATCAATCCGACGAGGAGCGAACGGGAGCGTCGGACACCGAAGACGCTAATCCTTCGCTACTACACGGGATAGGTTCCGGAGGAGACGATGCCGCGACACCTGACACGAAGAAGACGAAGGAGAAGAAAGAAAGCACGCCCGGCATCGTCTATCTAAACTACATTCCCACGGGTTTGACCGTGGCCAAAACGCGTGAGATCCTCAGCGACTTCGGCGACATAGGAAGGATGTACTTCGAACCTATCAAGAAACTTGACTCGAAGTCTCGTCCCACCCATCGATTCAGAGAAGGTTGGATAGAGTTCAAGAGGAAGAAAGACGCGAAAAGAGTGGCGGAAGTGCTGAACGCAAAGCCTGTCGGCGGCAAGCGGCGAGCTCCTTACCATGACTGCTTGTGGAACATCAAATATCTGAACAGGTACCGTTGGACGCATCTCTCCGAGAGATTGACGTACGAGAAGGCCGTCAAAGATCAGAGACTGCGCACCGAAATCGCCAAAGCCAAGAGGGAAGCGAGTTACTACGCCAAGGTCCTCGAGATGTCGATTCGTAGGAAGAAAAAACGGAAAGTCGGAGAAGTTCTGGAGGAAAACCCTTCGCGAATTAAACTCAGGAAAACCGACAAGGAAATCCGAGAAGAGAAACCACAGCCGGCCCCCAACGACACTGCGGATAGGAGCTTACTCATGAGCATTTTTTCCAAAGAATAACACGCATTGTCCATCGTTGCGTCTGTTTGTACAGTAGTGAAGTTTTTGAAACTGTCATTGTGAGGTCTGCGCAGAGTCTGTATAATTTATGAATACAAATTACTTCGAAACAAAAACGTGCGTCGCCTTCCTCCGATCCTCAGGCAATTTGTGACAGCGTTTTCTTTAGTGTCACGTGTACAGTCTGAATTTATGGAGAAGACTCATGGAAATGGCTAGGTCCGTTTGTCATCGAGCATAATTCTGACCGACGAACGATCCCGCGCAAAGCAGAGGAAGCGGATCGATTTTCCGATCGATCCGGAGTGGTCCCGAGGGTATCAGAATGAACATGAGGAATATTTTCATAGTCTCTCGTTTCTCTCCTCCCTCGGTTCATAAACCGAGGAGAAAATCGAATCCCGTCAAGCTCGAAGCAAACGAATCACATTACTCACCTCCTTGCGTTTGAGGCCGGGATGCTGCACATACTGAGCCGCCTGAAAAAAGGGAATTCAAGGTCAGACAAATGCGTTTCAAGATCACATAAGTTGACCAACTTCATCGCCTTATGGCAATCGGTCCTCTCCGCGACAATCGCAATCATGTTTATTCTTCGATTCTAAGATAGACACCAACAGTCACCGGAAAAAAAAAACACGCTCTACCCGATGAGGTTCCGGGGAATCGGCAAATATTTCCTCATCGATGTCGATTTTGATTTCCTCGAGAGCGGGCTTGAATAAAGAACTAGGGAGTGAAAAATCGCGTCCCGGCGGAGTCCCTGTTGAAAACGCAACACGCCCGCGGGAACGCGAACGATGAAGGCTTGGAAGTCACATCGAACGCTTTTCCGATACAGAGAGGACGCCGCTGGTGATATTAGCGGCGAGCGACCGTGCGACTGGTCGAACACACAAGATGACAGCGAAAATCGGGCTTGCAACAACGCCACTGCCCCGATAGAGACGCAAGGCACCGGCAGATAATCGGACTACCCGGACAGACCGATGCACAAACAGGGAGATCCGGCGGATACGACGACCGAAATGTGACAGACACTAATCCCGGCGACGAGGTCTGATTGTGTCGATATTGATTTGTGAGCAGGGAAGAAGAATTCGTTCCCTCGGTAACTGCGGGGAGTCTAGATCAGGAGCACGGGGACGCCTCGTTGAGCGCGCTGCACGATCGGAAGGAAAAGTCACAGCGGCATTGCCCCCGACCAGGGATAGTCGAGGGAAAGTCGAGATATTGGCTCGGTGAGACGAGGAGTTCCAACTCTCTATTCACTGTGACGCTCTTCCAGACGTGGCAGACCAATATCTCTGATGTGGAATATCATCGGGAACGCTCCGCGAGGTCTCCATGAATAATTTCGATCTCAATTGAAGCACAGAAGCCTCTGGACCTCTTTTCCGGGAGCGCGTCGATTTCGAATCAGTAGTTTCCCCGCACTTCCTAGGTACACAGATAGCGGAATAGTCACGAGGGGAGGAATGAAACGACGACGGGGCAATAGATAGGCGAAGATACCGAATTACGTAGCTCTTCCCGCCCTGGGCAGTTTTGTAATGATAGGAACTCGAACTCGAAGGAGGAGTCCCTTCTCATGCTCTGACGCTCGTCACGTAGTCAGGCGCTTGCCGGCTCGTCCAGTTCCGCGGCCATCTTTCGTAAGGCTGGCAACGGCTCGCCGGGAAACGTTCTGCTGTCCGAGACCAGTCCCTGATGCAGGAGAAGACGCCCGGAACCAGCATCGTAAACCGAAGATCGTCAACTCGCAATTAAAGATTCGAGTTGCTTCAATCAGAATAGACCCCGCATTCATGCAAAGGGTCGGATTGCGTGATCGCGTGTCTATCTATGGATGTGCTCCCACGAACTGAGTGAGGAGACTCGCGTTCTACCGAGCTGTTCGAAGTACGAAACGCACCCAACCCCCCCCCCTTCCCCACGTTCGAGCTCCGTCGTTCAGAAATTCGGTCGATCGGTCATTCAATTCACTTGGTCATTCAATCGGTTGGCGAGCGAGCTAGCGGGCGGGCGTTCAGACAAGTGACTTTGAGTCGGTCGCTCGAATGACGAACGACGATCCTCGTCGAGCGGAATTTCTCCTCGAGGGCCTCGTTTGGAAAACTGACGTCTACGATACGAACTTGGATCTTTTTTACACGCTCGTGTCACGTGGCTCGTCCATTCAGACAGACTCCCTCGGTGCCGGGAGACGAGTCTTGTTGTCAAGAATTCCCATTCGAACGCCATCAAATTCAATGATTTTTCCCTCGTCTCCTGTTCGAATTCTCTCTCATCGAATGAGGAATGTCGGCTCGAGAGCAGTCTATATCAGGGTGGAGGAGACCTCGCAAAATTCTGCCAGATGCTTCTCCGTAGTCGATGAGCCCTTTGACTCGGAGGTCGACAGAAACTTCAAGCCGGGTCAAATTGAAGCCGAGGCCCACACGGCGAGGACCTTTCTGTCAAGCCGTTGGGACCTTGCTTGCAGGAGCAATTCATCACAAATCGTAGGCTCCACGCTTTTCAGTCCCTCTTCTCTCGCGAATTCCAGAGGGAATGTGTGTTTACGTCCAATGGGACAAGCCTTGGAAAAAACTGGAGCGAAGCGGACGAGTTCCACATTGTTTCGCAGCGATCGGCAACACCGCATTCCCCGAGTTTGAGCATGGCGCCGCGCCGTCGAAATTCCGAAGCTCAGACTGCTCGATTGAGTTTGGCGCTGGTACGTAGAGCAAGAGAGGATCGTTTTGGAAAGGTCTCTCAGGATTCTCTTCGAAGGGAGCTTAGATGGCAGCAAGTATTCCGGCGAGAGATGGGGAGCGACTCTGCTATACTCTCCCGCGATCCTAATCGGGATTAGGATTAGGATTTTCCTCGTCTGTTCCTGTCCTCGTCTGCTTTCGGCATGCCCCAATCTACCCTGGAGTTAGGTCAGCCCGGATGCTGTTTTCTTAGCAGGCCGCGATTCGGAGATCAAAGCAAACATCTCTTTACGGCCACTCTTGCCGTGAGCCATAAAATTCTCGTTTCCCGGTCGTGCACCAAGCAGAATCAGACGCGAATATTCAAACCTGAATCTAGCTCCTCGCGCTGCCCGGACAACCTTTATTCATTCTTACTGAGGCCTCGCAGATTTCCTAACCAAACCCAAGGAAGCTCTTTGAGGCGCAGTGATCGATGACGGCTGTTGCGATCGATTCACATTTCTAGAAACCGGTCAGAGTATCGAAAATATTTCTGCCTTGAAGACTATGAGAAATTCCGGTACGATGTTGACAGACTCGAGTCGAGACATAGAGATTTTTGCCACCTCAGAGAAAGAGTAGCATGACTTCTCAGTTCGGAATGATTTTATTCAAGACTACAACAGACTGTCGGCCGTCTGTCGGTGGAGATCGTGTTCATCGTGAACAAGCCACAAAATCGCATGGTAGCAACCATTCGGGCGCTTGCCGCTAGCCTGCCGTCTACTGTGTCTCTCAGAGAGCGCGGATGAAGGGAAAACTCCCCCTCTGACCCGAGTTGCAACCGGTGCCCACGCCGGCGTGGCAAGACGGTGATATGGGAAATGGCAAAGTTCATTGTTGCTCGATAGCTCTGGCGTGACAAGGAGCAACCAACTAAATCATGCGCCCGCACCAAGCGCCGATCGCCTAGTTCTCTGCGCCGATCGCCTAGTTCTCTGCGCCGAACGCGAAATGTGGCGGTAAAATTTGCCCCAACTGGACAAATTACGGTGGGGCAGGAGAGAGACGACTCTTGATCGAATCTGATAATCAAGGAGCTGCTTTCTATTCTCTCGCCATGCTCCGCTAGATACCCTCTGCGGAGATACCCTCAATGGATTCTTCCCTGATTGAGAGCAATCGCCACCCTTCGACTCTTCCTAGGTCGGATATTCAATTTCGCGAGGATAACGCTGTTCACATCGTTGTATTGTCAACTGGATCTCTGCATGTATCTGCCGTGATGGGCGACTCGCTCATTGCACCAATAGCAAGGGAATCGCGCAAAGTGGCCCCGAGTTACCAGCAGCACCCGCATCACTCATCATTCATCACCTTGAAGTAGTTCATAGTTCCGAGTTGCTCACGCGCCAAGGGTTGCCGCGCGCGATCGCCGTGGCGCCCTCTACTTGAGTTCAGGCAAACTAGGAGGAGCTCGCAGATCGAGCACGATAATCACTTCTCACGGCACCGCTCAGAGAGCTCGGGACTTCGTTGCGGTCGATTACGGAGAGGAAATCAGATCATGCCGAACGTACCTTATATTTTAACATTCGGGCAATGTCTCGTTGTTTGGAAGTTCGAAACAAAAATCTAAACAAATTCGCAGGCCGTCTGCTCTCCACCTCTGTTAAATCGTCTGCTATAAGCCAAACAATATGGCGACGCCCATGAAATTCCACCGAGTTGGCAGCGGCATCAGCTACCGTTCCGTGTCATCGTGTCTCGTCGGCTATAGTTGAAGCAGGAGATGGACGTTCTCGGGTCCGAAGCGACCGTATTATCGGTCGTCTTGGCGCTTCTGATCGTGGTCATTACTGTAGTTTTCGTGCTTCGCCGGAGTAGAGGAGGACGCTCGAACGTACTCATCTGCGGCATATCAAACGCTGGTAAAACAGTGCTCTACGCTCATCTGTGTTCAGGAAAAACCGTCCAAACATATGTGTCCATCAAGGAGAATCAGGGCCAGTTCGAACATCCGAGTTCCGGGAAAGTGGTCAAACTCGTTGACATCCCCGGCAACGAACGCCAACGCATGAACGTATTCGACAACTTCAAATCCAGCGCGCGTGCGCTCATCTTCGTAGTGGACTCTATTAGCTTCATGAGTGAACTCAAAGATGTAGCTGAATACGCCTATTACGTTCTTTCGGATCCCGATACTTCGCGGCTGCCTGTTCTGATCGCTTGCAACAAACAAGACGATTCCATGGCGAAGTCGATCACCGTGATCAAGAGCAATCTCGAGAAAGAGCTCAACCTCCTCCGAAAAACTCAATCTTCCAAGCTGGTGACGACTGAAGGTGCTCAGCTGGGGAGAGTTCTCGGCAGCGCACGCAAAGACTTCGAGTTCGCCGATCTCAGCCAGACGGTCGACTTCGTCGAGTTCAGCTCTACCGCAGATCGGACCCCCGTGCTCGATTGGTTGAGCAAACTGTGATGCCTCATGTACATGAATACGAGAAGCGATCAAACCCGACCCGAGTTGTTGTAAATTATCTGTTTGTTGCGTCCGGAGTCGCGTACTCGCCCTACGGCAATCGAGGAATAAATCAATTCTGTGAAGGATTGTATAAAGGCTCTTGTAAGGCTTATGTCGCTCTAAGGGAAGAATGAAAACATATAAGTGGTGTACGTGAATTCCAGAATCGTTCCCACTCGGGATCAGGCGTCGTCCATTGAGTATACTAATGGGCCAGGGCACGGACATTTCGATTCAAGATGCAAGTTTCTCACAGCATCCAGAGATTTGTCGAGTCTTTCCCCACTTCCAGGAATTCTTCGTCAATCATTCGTGCCGGACGCTCCCCACCAAATTTGTAACCATGGTGGGAGATATCGAAATGCGAAGTTTCTCCGATTGGATATGCGACACTTCTTGATTGCATGCCTTCGAGTGTGCATCAAGACACATCCTCGATCGATTCGAACAGCGCATCAGCCGGTGGAATGCCTACTTGATGTATTCATGGAAAATTCTGTCCGATGTCTATTATGCGTCGAGGAGCCACGCACGGCATGAATTAAGGGACTCCCCGTCCTTGCTGAATCGAATCGAAGCCAAAGTTGCCGCGTCCCAGTACCATATCGATCGTTCGTTTCCAGGCTTACCTCCTCCTTCTCGTCTTCCCTCCTCTCGGTCATATTGCCGGATCAACTAGAACTGCAGAATCTTACGTAGATTTCTTAGGAACACCAGCAGCGGAATCAAGAGCTCGAAGCTGAGGTCAGCGCTCCTATTCGGAGTGATGCTTTGGATTCGATCAGAGCACAGCGAGGCAGATCACAGCAGCGAGAGCAGGAACACCGCAGAGCGAACGAATCATCTCGAACAGCGATGTCGACTACAACGGCGATGGCGACGACGACGATAGTCTTCCGAGAAGCCGTCCGAGGCAGAAGTGGAAAACAAGCAACGACCCGGCGAGCAGACTAGTGTCTGGATGGATGTAGAATTTATGAATTCGAGCCCAAGTTGCTGTAAGTTGAGAGAACCGCGTCGTTCTCTCGACTTTGGTCGCTCCAGAATCGCCGTCGTTGTTGTCGCTGCCGTCAACGTTCCGTTCTCCTCGCTCCCGCATTCCGATCAGCGGCCGTGGACGTCGGCAGCGAGCGACAGTCGGATCGAATCACCGAGCCTGCTAGGTTGAAGTTCTCCAGACAGACGGAGGAACTACGATTGATTTAGCTTGCCGCGGAATTAGGCTATAAAAAACATAGATTCCCCGTGTGACGGTGTCCGCCTCTCTCACGAAATCCTACTCTGCTGACGCCGGGGAAGGAGCCATGTGGCTTCGAAATTCTTCCCGCCACGGCAAGTCGATTAGCGGCGGGAAATCTCTGATTGTGCGCATGGGAAGACCTCGGTATCCGAGAAGGGAGCAGGAGAGTCAAGTCGGGAAACGGAATGGATTGGAACAGAAGGCGAGGATACCGTCAGGAATAGGAGTCGGGGATCTAGCCATCGGATGGAGAACCAAGTGTCGGCGCTCGACTCCAAACTGTTCACTGAATATGTACGATTCGAGGCGGGGACGGCGACGCCGACGGTTGTGACACTTGACACCCACTGCAGCCTCCGTCGCGCAGCCACCGCCGGTCTCTATAGTTGAAATTCTGCTCCGCTCCTCTTTCCCTCTCTCTCCTTCAGGGGCTCAATGTGTCCCGAACTTTCCATCGCTCTCAAATCACTTGTGCGTTATAATATCGTTTCGCGCCGCTCTCCAAACTTCTCCACTTTGTCTCCCTTGGTCTCATCAGTGATTAATGCGTGTTCGCTTCGTGGAGTTCCCAGCCCGGAGCGATCACGGGCTTTTCGTTCGAAGTCGACTCGGGGCAGAGTTTGACAAGGTGTAGAAAAACGCAAGTTTCGCCTGATGATAACTTAATTATCGTGTTCAGAGACCACGTGCAACCGATGAACTCCATATCTCTCTCACTAGTGGCCGCGGCGATAATCATTATTTATGAAACTTCGTCGAACTTTCCAGGAGTCGGGCCACATGTCCCGAATCCCGAAGGATCGCGACCGAGTATTCCGAGGTCATGAGGTGGAGTTCCTCCCCTGATGAGCTCCCCGTCGCGACCATGGGAACTCTCTGAGTGAGAGCCCGAAGGAAATCAGTGATTCGAGCTTTAAAGGTCTCTGGAAGTCGTTTTCGGTCCCGGCGGCTCTCGGAATCCCTTCGGCGCAGGCGGAGGGGAAAGTTCTGATCAGCCTCGAAGCAGGACGTCCCAGCGACAAGAAGGCACACATGATTGATTCTATTCATCTGTCGACTTCGCGAGGCATCCACTGGAGCAGCCTGAAAGTCAGCCAAGCGATCAACCGCCAACCAGCCAGTGGACCTAGACGAATATTGTCGCCAAGACAGCCAATACAAGGGTGTAAGGAAAGAACATATATGGAGAGCATCGAAAACAAAGACCGCTTCAGTCTCCCTCCCGTCAGGAATACACGGTCTGCCTAACATGCATCGGGATCTCATGCAAGGGAATCGCCTGCAGCAGGAAATTCTTCTTTTTCATGTCGGTCCCGCCGTCCATCTCGAGAACATAGCTCTAGCTCGGGTGGTTGCCCTTTCTTCGACGACCCCGTCTCGGCTCAGAGCATCGGTTAACATGTCGAAAGCCAGGTGCAAATCATTGCGATAAGGTCGATGAAGCGCTCCTGATTCGACTCGGTTAAGCTTGACGTCGAGCCGACGTTCCCCACTGCTCAGAAATGACGAAAACGTGGAAGGTAAGCGAGTAAGCATGTGCGCCAACCGCTCGCTCCTCGCTTGCCTGGCTGTCGCGTTCGATTACGAATGACCTCCGGTACTCGTACATGTCTGTGCCTGCAACCACCTTAAATTGTTCCACCACACTGCGTGCTTTATTGTCTGTCATCCACGACGGCTTTCCGGTGATTGACTTTGAATTGACAGCTGCCGAACACGCTCGAACACTTCTTGGCACAGAGCTGGATTCCCCGGTTCCCGATCTCGGAATCAGAATAAATATGTTCGATTCGAATCCGCTTTCGGGGCATACGCGATCGCCCTCCGTCGGGTTTTCAGCTCAGCTTCCGGGCGAACCAAAAACTGAGACCATTCTCATTTGGATTCCCGTCCCAAGGAGTTGAAGATGGAACCATCGGATGAGCCGTTCCCAAGATCAGAACAAAGAGTTGAGGACATCTCCACTCACACCGCGGCAGCTGTGTAAGAGGCTAGCTTACTCGGAGTTCTCACGCAAAGGACTTCATCGGTTTCCCCTCGCCAAAATATTCCCCAGGGAATCGACAGAGCTCGCGGCCCGCAGTGCATCGGTCACTGGGAAAAATTGGCGATGTCTGATGAACACTATTAAATTAAGCCTTCTTCGGGAGCGGAAACGTCGTGTCGCCGTTTTTATGGTCTGTTCGCCAAACGATCTCTGGCTCCGGTTTCCCGGCTCATTCAGTCGATCCGTCGATTCCTCGCTCGCCTGGGATTTGAAAACCATCCAGGCCACAACAGCAGACATCGTAAGGATTCAGCAAAGTCTGAACCTACCGAGCCGATCGAAACTAATTTCAGAACTTCTCGAGGAGATGCTCTCCTATCAGTATTACGCATCTCTCGATCATAAACACGCGATACCTAACAAACAAATCCCTGTCTCTATGTATGTGTTTTCTATTCGTCTTTTTCCTGGGCGAAATCCATGACCCGCTCATTTACATTCTCACAAGAAGAACAAGCAGGGTCGAAGCTCGACTCAATTGTCCCGAACTCGGACCGAGCTCCGATCGAGATCGATTTGAAGAGACCCGAATATCTTCGGCTCTCTCAATCGCCGATGGCCCTTCGTGGACCACTCAAATCTAGGCGAACAAATTCGAGAACGCACTCCACCCCACGAGGTTCCAATCAATCCCGCGATCAATCCGTAATCGCCGACGACACCGCACGACCTTCAAAGTTTCCTGCAACGTTCATTATTATCGACCGTGATCTTCGGCACTGCTCAGTAGGTTGTCGTCCTCACTTTTTTTTAGGCCAGCGCAGCGCTTGATTGGTCGAATCAGGATCGGATAACGAAAGTCGGATCGGATGAGCTCTCTCGATGCGGCGCCCGGCGACGATTGATGCTGTACTCTTTCGGGAGAGGTGGAAACAATCACGAAGTTGTAAGAAAACTTCCCAAGCTCTTGTCGAGAGGGTCCACAAACCAGAACGCGCCTCCGAGAGGAAATGATAGACTTCGCAAATCTCACTTTGAGACTCTCATTATGGAGATGAGAAAATTCAGCTTTTTCTCTTGCATCCGCGGAAAATGATATACACATCCCAGGCCGCGCCACGCGTCTCTGGTTTCACTGCGTTAATGAGTGATGAGGGCTGCTTCACGGTTTTTCCCCGCCTCAGCAGACAGTTTCGCTGCGCTTCTTTTTTTTCCGCTACTCTGTCGCATAGATGCAAGTCGCGGCTTGAGTCTTCTCCTGATCCATCTTAATTTTCTCGAAGCTTTCAAGGGTAGCGCTCGAGGAGGGGGCAAATATGAGTATGAGGGAAGAAGTTGAGCAGAGAGAGCAAAGTTTCGTCCAGTGTTTCCGCGCATCATGCCGCTCGTGGGAGACAGGGATATTCGGGGACATATGCATATAATGGGCTGGAAGCCATTTCTCGATACCGCGCCCATCGGCGAGCCAGCAGGCGGTTCTGATCGACGTTACGCAATTGAAATAGCTTCGAATTCAAACAGATGGTCATCGGACGGAGGGAGATTGAGTCCCCGGATTCCTCCCTCTCGGGGAAAGAGCTCCGGCGGAGTTTGATCTTGTTGGGATTCAATCTTTTCTCCAAACAGACTCCCAAACTCCCAGCCATGAACACATTAGCCCCATAGGGGTCTTGTTTGCTCCGTTTTCCCCGATTCTCCCGCTTCAACAAGGAGGCTGACTCGCTTCCACGGCTGTCATCGCTGATAAGAAGTAGCTGTCCATCAGTCCGAACCCCCGGGTTCGCTCCCTCAATCCCTAAGCGATTCCTCACTCGTTGCAGCCTTTCTTCCCATTAGCCCCTCTTTAA